TAAACAACCAAGAAACAGTATCTGGCAAAAGAACACACGTGGCAGGCTTGTATGTAGTTGCATCACATGTATTATGGGGTCAGGGAACTTGCTTTCTTTCTCTACCTAATACACCTAGCTCTTCATCTACTGCAAGCTTTAAAACAATAGTGTAGTTGTAGGTATGAGGGTGTAAGGATATGAGTAAAGTGTTGTAGAGAAAGATAATCTCTTCTGTTAGGGAAAGAGGCTTTTTCACACTTCCCTCTGCTATTTACCCAATGAAAGAAAAAAAAAAAAAAGTATGTAAATCCACAGATCCAAACCTCATGCTTAGGAAAAAAAATACAGTAAAACAAAACAGAAAACTAGCTTATGTATAAAAAGAAAAATCATGGCAGCATGTTGCTCAGTAGCAAAAAAGGTGATGATAATTTTCTTCTTTTTTTTTTGTTTTGTTTAATGAAAAGCCCCTGAAAACCACAGCTTTCCTAACTGCAATCCACACACATATGCAGACACAGAGTACTTGTCACCACTGTGTCCCTTCTTCCTCTCCACCTTGTGTTCTGCATGCTAAAGCACTGGCCTCTATCTGGATGCTTGATCTTTGCTGGTCACTTTTGTAATTACAACAGTATTATTCCTCTGAGCTTAGAGAGGAACCTTGGAAATGAACAGCTATAACATGTTTGTCCCCAGGAGTACTCTGCTTTGTATTTTCATCTAGAGATGAGCAAAATGGGGGTTTTGTTATTCAGCCTGGTTAAGCAGTTACAAACACTCTTTTCTCCAGTTCTTTAAACTGATCTCCATACTTCCTAACCATCTATTCCACTCAGGTCAGAATGATTGTACTGCAGCTGCAGTGAAATGTATGTTTGTTTCTTCTTTCACAGAGGAACAGGGAAGAGATGGGGAAGTTTTTTGAGAAACTAGCAGTGAAAAACCTGTACTGAATTAGTATTATCAAAATATTTCATTTGCTCATAACTGAAGCTCACTTTTTCAGATAATGTTTTGAAATATTTGTCAATAAAATCACCAAGCCTGTTTTACAAATGACATTTCAATATGCAGTTGGATTAAAAAAAAAACCCACCTCATTCTCCTAATGCAAAAATGCATTTAAACTTTTATTTCTAAAATATGGTAAAGCATTGAGCTAACTAGTGGAATTTTCAGACTCAAAACATTAGGGATGATTTAATCAGGTCTAATTAACACACCTAGATTTTGTAAGCATTAAAGAAAAAAATATGACCAGATAAAACCAAATATCTCTTCATGAAGGCATTTTTCTCCTGCCAAAAATGTCGAGGTATACCCATCATTTTCAAAAATAAAGCCATTTAAAGGTACTGAGGAAGCAGCTCTCGTGTTTTGCAACCATCACCATCACTGTGTTACACCTCTGGGACATGCTACTGAAGATAAGGGCAACATTTATTTACAACACTCTAGGCTCCTATCAACATCCCTTGTCTCACTTTAATTTGTTTACCACGCAGGCATTACCCTACTATCTTGCAGGTTGAGCACTGCCCATCAGCTGCCTGTGCTGATTTCTCCAGGAAGGGGTTACCACAGCCACAGGACCTTTTGAACTGCAGCTGGACCACTGTCCAGACATTTAGTTGTTCTCTTCAGAGACCTCTCCCAGAAGAGCACTGGTGAACTGCTCCCACCCTATGGATTGAGTCAAAAACAGCAGATGAATTTTACTTTTTTTTTTTCCACTCAACACATGAGTCAAGTCCCTGAGGAACAAATAGGCCTTACAGAAGTTTAGTGACACTTTCTACTATGGGCAGCATAGCCAAATGGACCCGTAAAAGCTTTCAGCTGGCAATGGGAATAGCACAATTCTTCATAAAGGAAAAAAAGCTTGTTTGTTGCTTGGACAGCAATTCGAAGTTGCATTTTCTCACATCCCAAAAACACTTCACCCACTTGAACTCTACTTCTTTTTATTATGGAACTCGTACCAGCTGCCAAAACAGGTACGTATCATAGAACATGAGGTTAGAAGGGACCTCAAGGATCATCTGGTCCATCCTTTGTTAGCAAAAGCATGGTCTAGACTAGATATATCAGTACCCTGTCCAGCTGAATCTTAAAAGTGTCCAAAGTTGGGGGATCCACCACTTCCCTGGGGAGATTATTCCAGTGGCTAAGTGTTCTCATTGTGAACAAATTCTTTATTGTGTTTAGCCAGAATCTCTCCAGGAGTAATGTGTACCCATTAGCCCTCATCTTTTCCATGGAACTCCTTGTAAAAAGGGAGTTTCCATCTTCTTTGTAGCCACTCTTTAAAAACTGGATCATGCTGATAAGGTCTCCCCCAGAGCCTTCTTTTCTCTATCCTAAACAAACCCAGAGAATACTGTAACTCCTGTAATGATCTGTTTCACAGGATACACTAATTTAACTGCTACGTATGAGTAAAATTACAGTGGGGTTTCCAGCTGGAATGGACTGCAAGTGAACAATTTGTCATTTAAATGTACTGGGAGTAATTCAATCACAGGAGGCAGTTACGACAATGCAGTAAGGAATAATAAACAGTAATACAATGGTCCATAACTAGAGCAAAACAGTTTACAGCTCTCGCAGATGGAGAACAAAGAATAAACCAAATCATGAACAAAAACCCTCCACACAGATAGGAAAGCTCAACAATGGAGTCAAGGGGAAATACGGAATATCTGCATCAGGCTCAATGGTATCCTTTATCACAGATGCGTACCAGCTTTTTATCCATTCTCTGCTACAGCAACTATAGGAATGTGATTATAACAAAAGCACAGAAAGGCCTTCTTCTGCTTACTAACCCACAGGGAGACACATGACCTGTCGTTTGATCACATTCTTCATTCAGGATTTCTCCTTTTCTCCTATCTTCACTCAGAGCATCAAAACTCCCTTACACTCAGAATGAGAGGGAAGGCCCTCCTTCTGAAATTTTTAGTTAAGTTTATTTAATCTTTTTGATACTACTTCTCTCTTACTCTCCCTACAGAAATGCAGCATCCCTCCAGAGCTGGGTCAGGAAAGCCTTAGGGTGTGGGGCTGCAGAGAGAGCTTAAAGAGAAAAAACGAGGGAAGAAATAATAAAAAATCTCAACAACATCCCCAACAAATCCAGCATCAACAAGAAGGAAGAAATGACCACGTTCTGTATCACAAAGTTTACATTACCCTTTGCACTGACAACTGCTATATCTCAATGTATGTGCAGGCAGAGAAATCCATAGCATCGAGATGTGTAATAATGGTCTAGTCTCCACATGAAAGGGAGTGCCTCCTTAAACCAAGTGTACTCCTACCATGAAACTGCTGGAAAAAGTAATCAGTCACAAATAATAGTCACAAAACCGTTCTGATCCTTAGCACTCCTCCATGGACAATATCATTATACATGGCTTAAATAAATCCCTCCAGCCACACAGTTGCATCTTTATCGTCTTCCTTAAAGGAAACTCAGGTAATTTATTTTTATTTTCCCCTAAAACCCATTTTATTTCATCTGCAAATTCAAGAAGCCGACAAGCTGAGAAAAGCCAAGTTTAGAGTTGGCTGGGAAACTCCAAGTCTAACTGTGAGACATTTCATTGCTTCAGAGACAGGTTTTTTCCAAGACCCATCATTTGATCTGGGGAAGATCTGCAAAAAGGAGTTGTGGGGGGAAGGAGTGGGGGTGGAGATCATTAGGTTAATGGCTGCTCATATACCCCTATGATTTTCACAACTTTACCAGAAAAATGGCATTTAACATTGCAAAGCCATGCTGTGGCTAATTAACATCAATGTGCCAACTGCACCAGAAATCACAACAGTGACCTGGGTATGAAGACCACAGACCCTAACCAGACTTTTTCACCCCTCAGTGATGAAGACTACCTCATCTGTTAGGCACTGATGCTAATGGTGACACTTTTCTATTCCGAATGAAGTCTGTCCCAGTGCTGATGGATGCTTTTAGCACTGTTGAAGCTATACTTAGCCCTGTAGCTTGAGACCTTTGACAGTGAATTATCAGCCGAGCGCAGGAAGCATCACTCCTACCCATGGGCAGAGCTACTGGGTGACGTCTCCCTGCTGCTCCTGGGGTCAGAGCAAGCAGGTCTTGAAAAACTGTGGGGGGAAAAGAAACATTTCCACTGTTTTCTGTCTAGTGGGTAGTCTGGTACAGATTGCAAGTGATAGTGCAAAATGGGTGCTTAAGGGCACCCTCAGACCTGTAGGAAGGAAAAGGGGAGCCCATACCAAATCTGACAGGTGCACTAGTGAGATGAAGATGCAGAAACTCTTCACCTTTGTTGTAATTGAGACACACTCACACATTCTCTTCTAAAGCACTCTGCACAATGGCAGCATGGCTATTTCAGTGACAATCCCAGCGACAAGTCAAATCAGCTCTTTCTGAAAGCATCAGTAAAACAAGGAACTGATAATTTAGACTCTCAACCAAAACCTGCACCATACTGCTGCTTGCAGGCCTCCCCCATCCCTAGAGCAGTGTCACTCAGATGATGCAAGAGAGGAAAGCAAAATGGCTCTTGGAGCAAGGCTTCAAAGAGAAACTGTAACATGTTTTAGGTTTGCCACAGAACTGGCACTTTGACTTGGGGGTTCAAGTGCTGCTTCTTCTCCAAACCAACAGAGTAGATGCTGCACTATGGGCAGGATCCCAGTGAGCAGCTTCCTTAAAACATAGTTTCCAGAGGCACACAGGGCTGAAGGCGCATTGGGTGGCTGTGGCAAAATTCTTCAAGAGATGTCTCTAAAGACTTATGGCAGTGCAAGATGAGAGTGTAATTACTAGGACTGTTCAACAGGCCGAGTAATTTAAACACGGTGCTGGAGCTTGGAATGGTTTTTCAAGAAAAGCAAAATGAATGAATGAATGGGATGATTTCACAGGCAGTAAATAGATTATTTAATTCTGGTCAGCAATGTCACGTGCAGCCTTTTGAGAAGAGTGGAAGAATTGGAGGTTGTCTGTCTGTCCTACTCACCGGGCACCACTCCTTTGATGTCACTTTCTGTGTTCATCCTATTCTTGTGTGTGAACTGAAGGATCAGCTCCTTGGATGCCTCAAACTGTTGCGTAGCCATCAGCCACCGAAGGGACTCTGGGAAAATACTTCAAAGATGGAAAACAGGTTAGGGTTGCTTCCAAGTTTTTGTCAGAGGAAGAACTGATAATGTTTAGCTGCTCATTTAACTATTCATGAGCTATGTAATTATTTTGAAAAAAGAAGAATCACTTATGAAACTAGAGGGAAAACAAGATTTAGAATGTGCAAATTAATGGCATTTTCTTTTACACTGATTCACAAATGATACAGGAACTGTCTTACCACATAGAAATAGGACATATTAGAATTTTATAATGTATTAGGGGCATTTTGCCTGCTAATACAATTTTGAAAGAACTGGGAGGAGGCAGCACTCTCTGCAATAGACGTTTGCTGCCAAGAAGAGAATGAATGAGATATGCAGTTAACACATGGTAATTTAAATCAAAGATGGAAAATAGCTGACAGAAGTGATTTGGTTTCTTTTGTGAAGGCAGGGAAAGGAAAGAGAAGAATTGCATTTTAGGATTATAATGGAACAGATATTTAGATTTTTAAAAACATTAAAAAAAATAATCTTTTCCCACATATGCAGACTTTAAGCCATTCTTTTATATGGGTCAGTATTGCATATACTCCAGACAACAGCCAGTTGTTTCTCTAAAAGTTTCTCCTGGTAAAGACAATGTTATGTTAGTGGAGTTGCCTTAAAAATATACATGTTACAAAATGAAGTTTACTTTCCATCTGCTTGTTTCCTTCAAGTGCTGATATTCACTTGATTCATTAGCTTAACTAATTAGTCTTCCTTTGAGATGAGTTTATTTTAATACAAAACTAAAACAAATACATAGATCTTCAACCAACCAACCAGAACCTTCCATACTTCTACAGATATAAAAAATTTAGTTGACTCCAAGCATATTTTTCTTTATTGTGCTGGCCTCATTTTCCAAAAATACCTTTCTAAGAACAAATTTAATAACTATTTTAAACTTCAAATACATAAAAAACCCTCGAAAGTCCTTCACAACACTGATCTTTGCTGCTGGTGCTACCTCAGTTCTTACACTTCTAAGCAGCGGACCAGGCAATCGCACCATTATAGTACTTTTAAGGCTGATGCAATTTGAAAGACAGCTTAGTGAAACCTCCATGCTAAAGGAAGTCTTATTTTTCTGAAAAAGGGGGAAAAAACCCACAATGGAGAGAAGTCAGGCAGACTGCTATCCAAATGTTATGAGGCAATAAAAATACTTAACAACCATTCAACTTGACAGCTTATTTACTGCCACTGGTACTGCACGAACGCTTTGGCATATCCTCCTGTAGCAAATCCTGTACTGCAAAAGCGTTTCTTGAAATATTAAGAATTCTTTGAGTGCAGAATCTCCTGGTGCTTGGCTCCAGAAAGGGGACAGCCTCAGCCACTAGCCTAAAAGCTGTGCTTTGAACGGTCCCATTACCAAGCAACAAGCCCTATGGGCAAGCACCCACTCCTAGGGAAAGGAAGAGAACTGGAGGGATGGGCATTGAGACATTGGGACAAATGCCGTCTCTACCTTCCAGCTCAAGCAGGTTTCTCAAACTGGAAGTGCCGAAGCCTCTCATCTTTCACTGCTCCATTACTCTGTGTGAGCAACGAGAGGTTCATTTAACTATCTTTAAAAACTCCTGGGCTGCTATGAGCCCACGTTATCAGGCACAGCCTCAGTTGGGAGC